GATCGGGTGGTCAGGCTCGTCATGTCATGATGCATGTCATCGTATCCCAATTGCGAGGATCGATGCTCATGCTATCAATCACTGGATCGTCTGGTCCAGACTCGATTATTTACAGACCGCCGTCATATAGCTGGAATATTGCTGAGTGTGGCGTTAAACACCAAACCAACCAACGAACCAACCTACATTGTACGATGTGTATCCCTTGTGATGACAGAATCTCGGTCAAGCATGTCCAGCATGACTATTGAGTTTTCCATCGCAAGGGATGAATATTTCAAAACATGAAGTTTGAAGGGCCTTTTTAATACCGTGAGTTCTTCTTAAAAGAAATATCCTTGTTACAAAATTCTCATTTTAAAAAATGGTATTAGTACATTAGATATCTGCGATTGTAATTAGCTATACTCTTAACGGGGTTGAAGTAGCGTAAACATTATAATCCCCCTGTTGGAGTACGCTTATTTGTACCACAGTTTTAATGAAAGTATACTTATAAATTGTTATTGTGGGCTTAACTTTCCAACAACCGCCAGTAGCCAGAGGGATGGTGTTAATCCTGCTGGGGTACCATGTAGGTAGCAGAAGTACCGTTAGTCCCCATGATTCCAAGTATGGTGGCCTTACTTTGGCTGCTGGTGATCTCTAGCCCAATTTTATTTGTATTGCTATCAGTAGTTCAGTTTATAGGGTGACATGTTAGTTTTAAATCTACGTCTGTGATAATCTAGTTCGTTTACTGTGATTCGTCGACAGGTTTTATGTTCAGTTTTGTGTATCATTATTATATATATATACAAAAATGAGGTAAATGTTCACTCGGTGTACATGTAATATATAATAAAATAATAAAGTCCACGTTAGTCCATCATCTTCTTTATATCAGTTTCATACATAGTACTTTCGCTGTTTCTATGTGACTATAAACCTTAACTCACTATTTTTGCCAACTACATATTCTAAAAACGATCTGGTCTGGTTCTACGGTTTTGATGTACACACTGTGTCTTTTTCTTCTACATTACATGTTCTAATTTCATTTAACTACTATCTCGTCTATTTGTAGTCATCTTATAATGAACAATATGCGTTCAGGAAAAGGCATGATTGATCATCAGCGACACTTATTTGTATTCAAATGTTCATGAGGCCTAATGTATCAATGCAACCAATCAATGCCGTTTTCTCTTGCTGTCTTTGTGCCTTTGTGAGTTCTATGAACTAAATAAAAGACTCAATACAGACATTTTCCTTCCACTGATTAACTAGAAAAAGAACAGTGAAACCGCCTCATCTGTTTAATATTTAGAAATGTGCACTATATCCCAAAGAGGGATCACAGCAACTTTCCTTTTATGTCGGGCAACTTCAGCCTTTGGTGTCGTCATATCTCAAGTTATGAGTTACATCGACCATACTCTTTCCGCGAACATTTCCCGTAGTTTGATCAGGTTTATAGCATTCGGGGCCTAGGTGAAGCTTTCAAAATGTGCAGGACCCGTGTTTCCCTTGTTTGTATAGGTGAACACCTGACTTACCTCTGCATGTGTTTGTGAAGGGAGATGGCGATGGGACAGGATGCGCTTAGATCTGGTATCATCACTATTCAATAGCGATTCATTAAGAAAATGCATATGCTATTGATATAGTCGGAATCGTGCAATGGATTCTGCTTTCGGCATAGATTTCGTATGATTGTGGAAAGGATTCTTTTGCTTGCATTCATATAAGGGGCGATGGGGTATCCTAGTGGTTTAGGTGTTCGCTCGTGACGCCAAAGATTCAGGTTCGATTCCCCATGTGGCTACAATGTATGAAGCCCATTTCTGGTATCCCCCGCCGTGATATTGCTGGAATATTGCTAAAAGCTTCGTAAAACAAATACTCACTCACTCACTGTATTCATATATACAGAAATATAGTGAGTGAGTTATGTTTAACGCCGCTTTTAACAGTATTCCAGTTATATCACAGCGTGTCAGCTTAATGTAGGAGGAAAGCCCGAAGTGATTCAGGTCTCAGACGTTTACCACTTCGGTGAAGCCTATGAGCACGGGTATGGTGCTGACAAACCTGGAAACATAATCGGGGCGAACCGGGATTCAAACCCACTACCATAGGTTTCTGGCGTTCCCAAGGGACGCAACTCTGCACAGCGAATCGCGGCACCTAAGACGACTGAGCCACCAGTGCCCCCTACATAAATCTAAATCACCAATCCTTTTTCCTTATGAAATCTATTGCACTTTCAAAATAACATTTGTGATTTTAACCTCACCCTATATATTGACTGCTTCTGCGAATCGAAAGACGGGATTACCCTCTTCGATAACGTCCAGTATCAATACAAGATACAAATGTATTCAACACGTTAATATCGTTTATATATTTTCGTGCATTGAAATGATCTTAATCCTGTGTTGAGTAAAATAAACCACTTTGTAGAAACCACTAGGTTCAAGAACTTGAAAAGCACGATGGGGGTCTTTGCAACAGAACCATTTGACGTAAAAGAAACCCCTCTAGTCAGCACAAGTGAGTAGTGAACATCAACTTTGATCGTTATGTCCTTTGTGTACATTACATACATTTAAAAGCATATTCTTTGGCATCGTCATCTCCACTCTATTGTTAGTGGTGAAAAACATTAATATTATATTGCTTCCCAGAGTCTGTTGGTCCTAATGTCGGGATGCTTAAGATGATGTCACTTGCTATCATCTTGCTCTTTCACGTTGAACGAAATCCATACTGCCCTCTCTACTCACACCAAAACATACCCCATTACGGAGCCAATAAATATATCAATAAAATATTTATAAACCTCACAACAGCCAATGATTTTCAAACGGATGATCAATGGACGTAAGATATCAAGAGGGTTTTCTTTTCATGCTCTTCAACATCGTTTCTCCCATTGTATTGAACAATAATATTGATCTGAGTGCGTTAAACGTCACATCGACAATAGTTTCCATTTAAGACCAGTTGAGAACATTTAAAAATATAAATCATTATCAAAAACACAATATAGAAGCGGGTCACCTTACAAGGGATCGTTGGGACTTACGATACCTCTGCTCTGATCTACAAAAAACGTTTCCCCAGCAGGAGACCTCTAAAACCAAAATCCCATAAAATCCCTTAGAATGCCATGCATCCAAGTTGTATAGTATGCTTTCTCGAGATCAATCAAAATTGATACAACGTGGGCTATATTTACTACAGCATGTTTATGAAAGGATTCTAATCGTACTTAATGATCAGTGGTACTTCTACTTTGCCGAAAACCACATTGGATATTTGTAAAAAGATGATTGGTTTCCAAATGCCAAACTAATGTATTATTTACCATTCGTTTCATCATTTTGCAAAATCAACTGGTTAAATAAGAAGGACGATATTTAGATGGATCTGTATGATCCCGACAAGGATTTGGTAAGAGGACGACAATGGCATGATGCCACGAAGGGCGGATATTTCATATTTGCTCCAATATATCTAATCGCCCATGATCATATAGATTCTGAAGGTCAGACTAAAGGAAGGATTCGTATTTAGGTGAAGACCACAATGAAAGACGTCCTGCCTGATTAAACAGAAGTGCCTCCAGTCGCTTTATCTCCCGGAGGATAAAACGAATGATGACAGTTATACTGCCCTAGGTCAAATGTGTCTGTATGTTTTAGATACGTATCCTGGAAACAGATTGCTGACGGCTAATAAAATCTTGTATTGATAATTGTAACTCAATAAACCTGGTCATGAGACTTCTGCGATTCCGCTGAATTAAATGATTTGTGTTACTCAGTTAGGTGGGGCAAGAGGGGATCGACTCCCAATTTACATTTTGGAAGAGTGACCCATTGTATGATCACTCAATCAGTTTGATTTTTAGCTTATGCCGTGCCGTCCGTCGTCAATACGTCAACATTTTTTTCAAGCGATCCGACGTCTTCTCCCGAACCACTAATTGGAAATGAACAAAATTTGACTGGAAGTATCACTAGGCGGTGGGGATTAAAAATTGCACAAATAGCAGTGTTGACCAACACCACCACCATTTTTGGGATTTTTCTAATTTTTATTTTTTTAAATTTTTATGGAATGAAGTTGGACATAGATTCAATTGGGGATGGGGTTCGTTTCCGGGGCAGAATTCGAAAACCCTTCAGTGTATTTGATCGAAACTTGGCAAAGCTATCAGGCACATACTGATGTTGTGCCTTTTGATATTTTATTTTTTTTACGAATTTTTATTTTTTACAATTTTTATGGCAAGAAGTTGGACCTAGACTCAATTAGGGAACGGGTTCGTTTCCGGGTCAGAATTCGAAAACCATTCAGTGGGTAAACAATGTATGCTTCTTAAAGAACATTCAACTGTTGACTCATTACATACAGATTTGCACATTTACTAGTGGTTACTTTACAGACAGCTGCCGGGGGATTGTCATCTTTCTGATGACTCTTGTTTTTAAAGGAAATGATAACAAGAAGCTATTGTACGGTCACCCTTAGTTTCCATAACAAGGCCATGTATGCTGACAAGCCTAGAAACATAATCGTGGCGAACCGGGATTCGAACCCACAACCATAGGCGTCTGGCGTGCCCAAGGGTCGCAACTCTGCACAGCGAATCGAGGCGCCTTAGTTGACTGGGCCCCCCGTGCCCCAACCCCCCCCCCCCCCCCCCTTTTGACAGAGACTTTTTTCTTATTACATATTCCTTAATTAATTCTTAACGAAACAATTCTGATTCCGGGGCATGACAAGTTTTTAACAATTCTATTATATCAATGTTATCACATATGTTTTATTCCCACATGCTATCAACAAAGACAGTGAGTACTTGTTGCTATGCACTGTACGCTATGGTATTGACACACAACGATGATATCGACTTGCCCATCTTGAGGAAACGCCTTGACAAATAGTATTTTCTCAAGGTTACCTGAAGTACGCAAACCCTTCACTTAAATCATTAGAGTTGTCCAGTCGTGGAGAAAGGATGTTCCTTCCAAATACGGTCCTACTTCTCACTCATGCAACATTTGTATCAGGTTAGTACGGTCTCTCTCTCTCTCTCTCTCTCTCTCTCTCTCTCTCTCTCTCTCTCTCCGTTAGACCTGCATCACAAAAAAACAACATTTGTCATTTTAAAAATGTAATATATTCCTTGGGGGCATATCATTAGATACGACCATATATCTCATACTATATATCCATGCATGTTTGGGTAAAGTCCATATGTGTAATGAGGTCATTTTACTTTCTTTCCATTGTCCTTTGCGGTTTTGGTATAATACTTTATCGTTCTAGGATACCTATTAGCGTTGTGTTATGTGATGTTACTGCGAAAAGTTCTCTCAAAAAGCATTATCTTTTATTCCAAAATTTCACTGGAACGGATCTCGTGTAAATGTCGATCGTTGATATGGTATAGTATAACAAGAAAACAGCGTTATCACTATCCCCCACCATGAGGCACATAAGAAGTTTGTTTGTTCATAGAGTAGTGAACAATAACAATAAAAAAGAGCCCCATAAAGCCTTAAGAAGAGAAAGGCACTTGGGTCGCTTTTTGTCATCAGAAAAAAAATTAAAGGTGAAATTAATGCGCACAAAAAGCCCTTTCTCTGCACAAAAAATAACTCAGTCTTGATAAGTATCTCTTAGATGATCTAACTTAAGTTGTTTCTGAGAAAACCTGCCTCAATTGCAAACACTATGCATTAAGTTGAAAAGCACGGGGCAAGGGCCATAACTCTGTAAACAAAATATTTGTCGGGACCAATTTTCGAACACAGTCTTGACAAGTATCTCTTAGATAACGTGCAAACTTTCATTCATTTAATTTCAGTAGTTGCTGAAAAAACTTGTCCCCATTTCACTCAGTATACACTAAGTTGAAAAGCATGGAGCAAGGGCCATAACTCTGTAAAATATGAATGTGCGACACCAATTTTCGAACATATTTGGGGTCGTGAGTAGTAACATCAGTGTGCACAATTTCATTCCTCTAACTTGAATAGTTTTTGAGAAAATTTGGCCCAATTGAGAAGCGGACGGACGGACGAACTCCGTTCCAATATCCCCCGCCCAACTTCGTGGTGGGGGATAATAACGTTCTGCGTCAAGACCCTTCTGTGTTATATGTCCAGGCTTGGCTGGTAGCAAATCATTGTTACGTTTATTACCATATAGTACTGGGACAAGTCTCGTTCATCTTATTTGTCAACTCAGGAAACACAATAGTGTTTGTTATATAGTTATATTCCCTTCTCTAAGGGGTCAATTTTATGTTATTTGTCCAAGCTTGTGTTTGATTTGGGGTTTAAATTTCGCTTTGAACAGTGTTTAGATACAAATATGGCAGCTTATTAATTTTGAGAGAAAACCCCACAGTTATGCAGGTATTTGCCGTTTACCACGAATAAGGGATTCGAACCAAAGTTGTTTGCCTATCTATCAGTGAGATTTTGTATTACCCTACTGAATCGAGACAAGTCCCTCCACATGGGGCCATTAATAATGCATAATTATCCGATATATTGATGGGGAATATCCATTTGTGTTATATGTCATTTCCGCAAACGTTGTGTTTGGATGAAAGCGAAGAGGAATGCATTGTTAAGGGAGTTATCATTATTCGATTCATCTATCGACACGGTACTGTGGTGTCGATATCAACTATTTTAATTTTAACGTGTCTTTGTACAGCATTCGGGACATAGAAAACCGGACGTCATCGATAGTTTGATTGCTTGCAACATATATACAATTGTGGCTGGTACATATAACGTTTTTACATCGAATGCCGATGTCATACAGGTTTTTGCCTGTTAATCCCTTATATCGATCTGTTGGAACAAATGCCTATGTCTAGCGGGTGTTTTCTTCCATACACAATATGACAGGGTCATGTCAATAATTGACAATCCTGTCATTGATTCTTGCTAACGATCCAAGCCGTACGGGTACGATCACGTGCAATCAACCAAGTCACCGAGATCCATCCAATCTATTAGGTCGCCTCTTGCAACCAGTATCGGTGGCTTGGGACCAATTCTAACCCGGAATGTATGACAGATTGGCACGTATGACAGTTAACCAAAATTCCATATGATTTTTCCACCTGAACACGATAAATACGTGAGACCCGTGGAACCGTCTCAGCAAACTATCAACAAGACAATATGACAAGAGGGATGACTTCAGCTTTCAAATAGTCAAATTTTCCCTTGATGCCAAGCAATATTCCAGCAGCTCCAGCCTTTGGTATCTACATTTCACAACTTTTGGAGTACAGTCGAGGTACATTGAGACTGATACAACTCTTGCTCAAACGTTGTTTGATCAGGGTTAAAGCATTCAAGGTCTTAAAGAAGCTTGTCTTTGCGTGTGTTTGTGACGGGTGCCACCGGTGGGGCTGAACACCTTTCGCGAACACCTGGTTTCATAACCTTTTGAAAAGGATCCAAAAACTCTTTCCTTATGATACACTCGGAATCGTTAAATAAACTCTGCATTTAGCAGAGAATATGGAAATGTTTTTTTTCGCTTTTATCAACTTGTTATACCATACCTGGCAGATATCTTGCCATGAAAGTTTAATTATATTCCCATGTAGATATATATTCCCAACAGACCCGTGAAGATCCGGGGTGGAATAGGTCTTCAGCAACCCATGCTTGCCGTAAAAGGCGACTATGCTTGTCGTAAAAGGCGACTAACGGGATAGGGTGGTCAGGCTCGCTGACTTGGTTGATGCAGGTCATCGGTCCCAATTGCGTGGGGCGATGCTCATGATGTCAATCACTGGATTGTCTGGTCCAGACTCGATTATTTACAGACCGCCGTCATATAGCTGGAATATTGCTGAGTGCGGCGTAAATGTCTAACATGTAGGTTTCCATGAGAGTTAACCATTATTACCATATTTAACATATGGCATCCCGTGGGTGTAAACAAATATTCCCATTTCAGCATGTAAGCTCCAATGGCAGTTAACTACTAATCCCAAGTCTTACCTGTAGGCTTCCATGATCTTCTCCTGTGTAGCAAGTAGGCCCACGTGGGAGTTAACTAATATTCTAAGTGCAGCATGTAGGGCCCAATGTCTAGCAGGTAGATTCCAATTCAAGTTAATGTAACTTATATTCCTCATATAAATCAGGTAAGCTCCCAGTATAGGAGAAAATGACCTATTTGAAGAGTAAGCATGTTTCCAACAGGAAATGCCAAACATACTTACTTTTCAATACTCCCAAAGGGTCATACTTATCCGACTTATATACCGACTGAAAAAGCGAAAACACATACATAAATATAGCACATACTCGATACCCATAAAGGAACAGGTGGCTCGAACACAACACGAACGGTAATATTTTGTGCTGCTGGTTGTTCTCTGTTATGAATCACGTTGCTTGAACGTGCAGCACACACCCGGTGCAGCCGATATCTCAATTTCAGCTACGTGGGTTAGTATCAAGATGGAACGTGACGACATTTTCATAACGCAGTATAGTTATCTCGAGAACAAAGATGAAGTCGGTACAGAAGATGACGATTATCTCTACAAGTTTGGAGAACCTTCACAAGAACTTGATGACGACAATTTCAACACAGCGTTGAATTATTTCATATTTGAGGCGAGAAAACAAGATGGGACTCATCTCCAGACTTGACCTTTATATGGTATTTTCACGGCAGTGCAGTCCTACCTTCGGTCGAAAGAGAATTTGTATGACAGGTGAGAATGAATTTTTATAGAAAAAAAATATCCATAGAAATGTATGTCTAGTGTATATTTATAAGGTTGTTGACTTTGTTTAGATTATGTTTTCAATTATTTTCTGTGTCGTTCCATATTCTTGAAAACGTTGCTGAAAAATACCTTAATTATTGCTTTTAAGACTATACATTTTTTAAATATAAATGTAAAAACATGTATTTATAGTACTAAACTTTGCATTGAGAGGGGATAGAGAACAGACAGTGGATGTCGCCAAACCCTCAAATTACTGGCCCAAATAATGATACCAACGGGCGTCGCTACTTACTGTTCACAGAAGACATCTCTGAAACGAATACAGGCGGGGATTAAGGGCAGAAAGGTGAAACCAAAGAAAGTTCGGGCGTATAAAAATGAAGAAAATCCCAAACGATGCTATATTCAGCGTTTGAGAAATATCGGTCTTTGCTGTAAATTCTGTTATAACTCTATTTAACTCTTATTAACTCTATTTTATGACTCATTTGTTGATATTATCCTTATCTTTGATGGTGCATTAGGAACTTACATCGCATCAAAACATAAAGAATGTTTGAATAATTTATAAAAGTCTGTATCAGGAAATATCACTTTTGTTTATATATATATACTGAACAGCATTGAAAACGCACCAGCAATAAATCTTGAAATATTACAAAAACAACTTGAGCAATGACCGATTTTAATTAGAACAGACATAGACGGATTATTAAGAAAGACGACAAAGGAAACAGGAATACCACACAGTAATTACATTTACGTCATCAGTGTAAGGAAGACACATAGTGTTAAAATGAAAAGTCAATATCTGGTATGTCCGCCATTGGCAGCAACACAGGCCATGCAATGTCTTCTCATTGATCGAATAAGTCTGCGAATAGTGTTCTGGGGCATTCCACTCTTGACGTAGTGTATCTTCAAGTTCTCTCAGGTTCTGTACTTGCGGACGACGTGAGAGGCGTTGACCCAGGTAATCCCATAGATGTTCAATTGGAAACAGATCGGGTGACATGGCTGGTTATGACTGATGCCGCCCCACACCATGACACTCCCCCCCCCCCATCGATCTGTCTGTACAACGCAGTCATTGTGGTAACGTTCTCCACGTCGACGCCACACTCACAGTCGACCGTCAGCAATCCGTAAATGAAAACGTAAACGGACTTTCTTAGGAATGTTTACAAATTGAAACTATATATCCATTATCTTCCAGGGCACCGAATTGAGGCGGTTCGCTGCTTCAAGCGACCATGAGACGAACAACGTGAGGTAGCTTCAAATATCATATCCACTGCCAAGCTGCAGAGATGCCAGTCGATTACTACGGAGACTTCAGCAAAATATCAATAGCACATGAAAATAGTGTACATAACGAGTAAAATTGTACCAAACATTTGCTCCTGTAATAAACTTTGAAAACATGTCATTCGACAGGGCTTTAATATGTTCCTTTGTACCTGTTAAGAAGAGCTGGCATGTTAAAAAGCTATTTAGAAACATTGTACAGAAAAATCGTTGACAGAGGAACAGATCCGTGGTCAGAGGGACATTATTGCGATAATTTCCCAGGGCAAATTGACATTATAGTTGTCCGGTCCAGAGACATTCAAAAGAATATCCCGGTTGAGTGGGGCGTAAGGACAGTACGAGTAAAGAGTGACGTGCAAGAACAATGGAGTGACGTCGCTGAAGGTTTATAATGGGAGTTGACATACAATCGCACTTCTACAATAGAGGTAGTCTAGCAGAACGTGTTTTCAGTAAATGTTGTATGATGCCCCATTCGGCAATATTCGAGACAGACCATTTGTTTCCAACTCAACGTATTGTCTTCAGGACACCAAACATGTATCGGTCCCTTTTGTAAGATTATTTCTTTTCTTGCATCTATCAGGTAACCTCAATCTGGCCTTAGGCAAACCAACTAAATCTTCAACCTTCATCAATAACAAAGGCAGAGCAGTAGATGGCAACAGAGAAGCAGTCTTTTCAAGGAGCTCGTGTTGGGAGAGCCAAGACGGGGACATGCAGCCATACTGGATGGTTGACCTTCAAAGTGACTTCTTATTGGAATACGTTACCATAACGAACCGAGTGGATTGTTGTGGTAAGGACAATTAAACCTATACGGGCCGCATGTTTGGCATGTATATACTGAACCGCAAAAGAAACGTCATCCAAAGTAACATTGCATGAAAAGTTGTCATTTAAATATCTGGGTAATTTTTGTGAAAGTTTCTAATATTTAACATAACCTTGTCCGGAAAAATGAAATTTGATGATAAAAAAACAAAGCAGATGACAATAAAACCGATCGCCCAAAGGCAGCACGGCAACGGCCATGGTAACCCAATGCACGTGAGTTCCGTGCAAATTGAAATGCACATTCGTTCCCCAATTTCTTGCCCTATAAAAATCCACACAGATCAGATAACATTCATTCGTTAGTGAATTGGTATCACATGCAAAGGTTGACAAGAAATCAGCGACACCAAGCCCTTGGACGATTGCAAGATGGACAAACCCCCGGCAAGTAGCCAATGCATTTCACGTCCACGTAAGGACCACATACAGGCTCCAGCAACGGTACCAGACCACCAACACTACAGATGACCGACCACGTAGTGAAGACCAAGGGTCACCACCTGACGTCAGGATCGTCAGATATTCGACGGCATCTTCAAGAACGCGTTGTTACTGCTGTGGAAACGGCTCGACAGACCATGGGGACACAACAGCGACACATTAGTGCGGACACCGTGCGTCGAAGATTGACGAGCAGACACCTCCACTGTCACAGGCCACACCGAGGACCCATGCTGACACCACGTCATCGCCGGGACCGTCTTCAGTGGGCAACACAGAACCAGCATTGGCGCCTCCAGCAGTGGAGGAGAGTCCTCTTCTCAGACAAGAACCGTTACTGTATCTCAACAGCAGATGGCAGAGAGAGTCTGGCGACGCCGTTGGGAACGTTATTCGGATGCTTGTGTTGTTGAGAGAGACTTGTGGGTCGGCCCTGTGGTCTTCCAGAACATCGGTCCAGGGAGAGGCAATGGTGTCACAGCAGCTCGGTACAATTGATCAAGTCTTGAGATCGCACGCCATACCTCATTTGGCACGTCGCCGCAACCACGAGTTTCAGCATGATAACGCCCGTGCCCACACTGCGAGAGCAACAAGAGACTTCCTCCAGCAGAATGGCATCAGAACCATGCAGTGGCCTGCCCTCAGTTCCGATTTAAATCCCTTTGAGCACCTGTGGAGCGAGATTCAAAGACTGCTGAATGACGTCCGACCAAGGCCGACAACTACAGCTGAACTGCGTCAGGCGTTCCTCAGAGTGCGGGCTCAAGTGCCCATGGCCTTCATCAACCGCCTCAACATGTATCTATGTATCCATGTATCGACGTTGCACGGCAGTCATCAATGCACATGGCAGACACACGAGATACTGACTTGTGATGCCATTTTCTCAGAGACAAGTGTTATGTTTCGCTTTAAGAACATTTGACACTTTAATTTCAACCTTGATGATCAGTTTTGACAAGTTTCATCTTTTTAATATGTCTCAAAGTGTGTTTACAAATAAGGTTTCTTATATATCTATCCATGATGACGTTTCTTTTGCGGTTCAGTATACTAGAATATCAGCCACTGCCGACCACGTTAAGTGTTTCTGATTGTGTGAGTGATTTGGTGAGATTCACGCGTTGTACCGATGTGAAGAATCGAATCGCGGACCGTCCGTGTGACGACACCTTATCTCAAGTACAAGTGATTTTACTGAAATTCAATGATTAATGATTTTGACATGTTGTTAATGTTGCTTAAAATGTACTTATATTTTGTATTCGGTTATCGTTTAAAAGGGTCATCTAAAACGATGACAACAGTGTGTGCTGATTCAAACTGGTGTCCATGACCTGTGTCATCTATCATTAGTGGCTTGGAGTTCAGAAATTATACACAAGTGACAATTTACTGTAAAATATTGATTACCAACAACCTGACAGTATTGGAATTGGTCTTTCGCATAATGTCATTGAGCAATTATGTTCACTTGCCAACATGATTTTCACTTGAGAGTGTAGCACAGGATTTGGCTCTGGCGCTTTCATACATATGGCCTTGTAGCATATGGTTTTGTAAAATGTAATGTCTATGTTATCTCAAAGATAACGCTCAATTCACTCAAAAACGTAATTATATACTAATCAAAGTCAGTGAAGGATCACATCTTTAATGCAACATGAAATTATGATATGAAGTCAAATATTGGAATAAAACCCGTACACTATCATTGGGTGAACCCTCTGGAGCCACGCTAAGAAGGTAAAGGCATGCTGTGAGGACACCATATGCACGTGATGCATGATAACCATAGTTGCCACCGTTGTGACTGTTTGTGACTGGAACCTTGCATTCCGTTGCTTGAAACCCAAACAAGCGTTAACTGCAATTGCTGAAAACAGAAACAACGTCGTTTGACAGTCGAGGAATTACCCAGATGCGTAGGGATGCTTGAAACTGGGGCAACACAACGCCACTTTGCCAACGTCCTTGGTGTGAGTCAAAGCGTGGTCTGCAGGGCATGGAATCGGTATCAGACTCATGGTTCAACTACCCAGTGACATAGAGGTGGTCGTGAACGTTCCAACACACCGAGATGACCGGTTTATCTTGCACTCAGCAAAATGTTATCACTTTGTGATGGCAGCTACGCTCTTCACAGATGAGCCACGGTGCTGGTTAGACTTCACTGGTCGACCTGCTCGAGTGTGGCGTAAAGCAGGAGAATGATTTCAGGATGCTAACGTAGCTGAATGTGACAGATGGGGAAGTGGCTCATTAATGGTTATGGGTCGAGTCAGCCGGGCTGGGAGAACTGATGGCCATGTGTTTGTGAGGGACACGATGGCAGGTATGCGTTACAAGGATGGGATCTTGGATGTATGAGACTGTATGCTGGTGCAGCTGGTCCTGACTTCATCCTCATGGACGACAATGCACGTTTCTATCGTGCCAGAGTGGTTGATGCTTACCTTGAGCAAGAGACAATGGAGCTCGGTCACCGGATCATGCTTCAGGTGTCCATCTGCATCCAGGTTCTCTCCAAGAACTGGGAACTTTTCTTACCCAAGAGTGGTACTCTTCCCTTCGCATCCAGACGCTTATTTGAAGCATGCGACGACGGTGCCAGGCTGTCATCGAATCTCGTGGATCACATACCCGCTATTGACAGTTGTTGTGTAATGCTCAATGACTTTTTCCGTGATTTTGATTTGTTGGTTGCTGGCATGATGACATTTTTTTGCAGTCTAATCTAGTGATTGACATCGTGACCATCGATCCATACAATTGGGATACGATGACATGTCAACCAAGTCATCGAGCCTGACCACCCGATCCCTTTAGTTGCCTCTTACGAGCATAGTCGTCTTTTACGGCAAGCATGGGATGCTGAAGACCTATTCAAACCCGGGTCTTCAAGGGTGCCAGAATACGTACAAGCAGCCATACATGTATACATACGTGCATGCACATCGCTCACATAAATGAAATAATCGTAAAGGATACATGTTAAAATGTACGAGGGGCGTTCAATAAGTTTTGCAACTTCAATATAAGACAAAGTCGCAGCACTTTTATGTTTCAATATAATCTCCATTCACCTCAATACACTAATTTCATTTGTTCTTCAAGCTTTCAATACCACTTTTATAGAAATCCGCAGATTGACCCTTTAACCACGCCTCCGTTGCAGCCTTTATGTCCTCGTCATCCTGGAAGCGTCTTCCACGTAGGGGAGATTTCATTTGCCGGAACAGGAAATAGTCACTGGGGGCTAAGTCTGGGCTGTAGGGTGGGTGACTTAACTGTTCGAATCCAGATTCACATATGGCGACGTGTGCGATTCTAGACCGGATGCAAAAGTAGAATACCACGTGTTAACATCCAACGGCGTTTCTGGCGAATAGATTTTCGCAATTCTTTCATTACATTAGCATAATACTTTTCATTGATTGAAGTTTTTAGTGGCATGTAATCAATCAGTAATGTGACTCTTGCATCCCAAAATATGGTAACCATTACCTTGCCCGCCGATGGTTGAGTGCGAAACTTCCTCGTAGGCGGAGATTTGGGGTGCTTTCATTGCATGAATTCCATTTTAGTTTCTGCTTCCCATGTTTCATCACTTGTCACTAGACGAGAAAGAAATCCGGCTTCATCAGCAGTACAGAGATCGAGGAGGTCTCGACAACTTTCAGTTCCCTGATGGCGATCTTGAGCTCTGAGGTTTCTAGGTACCCATTTTGCAGATACCTTGGACATACCAAGATGCTCATGAATAATGGTTACAACAGTTCCAAATGATATTTGATTCACTCGTCGTTCAGACAACTTTCCTCTTTCTATAGCAGCAATGGTTTCAGGTGGGGTGGCATCTGAAGGCCTGACTGACCTTGGGTCATCGTCTATGGACTCCCTACCTCTTTTAAACTGACCAACGGCAAACTGTGGAATAGTCAGGAGCATCCTTACCAATCACTTCACACATGCGATCATGGGTTTCTTTTGCTTTGCATCCCTCCTTGGTAAGGAACTTTATTACAGCGCATTGTTTATGTTTGAGAGAATCCATGATGGTGAATGAAGACATCACATCTAACTTATTGTTGTGTTTGGAACTTGTTATGACACATGTCAACCTGATGTTATGACTAGTGTCATACCTGCCACAAGTTGACATTGTTTGTGTGAACACAAATGCCCAGGTTGCAAAACTTATTGAACGCCCCTCGTACCTGTTCCGGTGTGTTCACAGAGATCAATTTAATATTTCGTTGGTTTGGTTAAAAAGCTGTACATCAGGGACTGAAATAACATTATCCACTCAATCCACTCAAAGAGGCGAAAAAATGTTGATACAAATGCCAGATATGCCCTTTGTGTTCCAGGTGAACGAATGCATGACCTCAAGATTGAGGTCTTCGCGGATGACCCCGTGCTGCACCCATCGACCCCATCATACCTGTGTGCGATGTATGATGGGCCAATGCCTGTTGGTGCAACAGAAAATATCTCATGTTCTTGTGCTGCTCAAGGGCGTTATATCAGAATCCGGGGTCTGGACAGACAGCACCAAAGCGATCTACTAACACTGTGTGAAGTTGAAGTGTTTGAGAGAACATCTACACGGTGTAAGTATTTCACGCTTATCTTTCGATAATTCTATCTGGTAAAAGCAGAATCCATTGTACGATACCGACTAAACTGTAACCATGAGTCACCATCAAATAGTAAAAGTGTTCACGAAAGGGTGACCATGGCACATCTGTTACAAACACATACAAATGCAAGTATTCACATGTCCTAACGCTGGAATAAGGTAACAGTCAAACGAGGGAATTACATCAGACATCATTTGGTCACTGATGAGGCACATGTGGAAATTTCTTCCACATATGTAGCATAATCACCTGCGAGTTTTACTAAGGCCTTAAATGCTGTAACCCTGATCATACAACTGAGTCATATGACGTTCTTTCAAATCTTCGTAGAGTGAGTGAGTGAGTGAGTTTAATGTCACATCGGCAATATTTCAGCCATATCGTGACGAGTTTAAATTTGACATTAATATTATACTTTTAAACTATATAAAATTCGGTCATCGAATGACAGTAAAATAACTAGACTTATCACAGCAATATATTTAAAACTAGTATGGAATCATAAAATGGATAGCACAATACATAAAATCACATTATAAAAACGGGCTATAGATCGCCAGCAACTGAAGGTAGATCACCATACGAGGGACCATGAGGACTTACAGTACTTTAGCTTCCTGCATGGACCCCAGCCGGATTTCATCCCTTCAGGTGTTGGCGATTATTGACAAATTTAGCCAAATTAAAAAAACCCAACATATTCTACGATTAAAACTTTAGTAAGAATAACATACCCTCTCGGGGGAACAATAATGTTACACTAACCATGATCAATAAGAGATATTAATTTATTCTACTAATGTTAAAAAGTCATTTATTCTATACAAAATAAATTAACAAAATGTATTATGCAATTCTATTTCTTTAAAAAAGCAAATAATTAAATGCGAACTAATAGTATTAAAGAGATCCTTCATAGATGAAACCTTATATATTTATCCCTTGTGATGGAAAAATCAACACAGTGAAGCAGGACATGCTTAACCGTGATTCTTTCATCACAAGGGATACAGAACGGAGGATCCTCACCTTTCAATAAATATTTATTGGTGTAACGAAAATTGCCAACATGACATCGTCGTAAAATGACCTCTTCAAATCTGGACTGACACCCAAAGTAGGTGTAACCAATAGTTGGTTTTATTTGATGTATTTTATTTATACCCACTTGGGTGTCCCACTTCTTTTGCATCAGATCATGACTAAGATCTACTCACTAGCTTGTAATCAGTGTATGGAAGCAAAAGTGGTGTCACACTGCTGCTTTAGCTGCAGCATCAGCCATTGTGTTACCAATGATTCCAACGTGGCTGGGTAACAAACAAAATACGATGTCGTATTGGCTAGTAGCAATTTCATTAAATAATTCAATAATTTTGATTAAAAGTTGATGTTGACATGAAATGTTATGGACAGCCTGCAGGTAAGTACGAGAATCGGAAAATATGATAAACTTCTTATATTTTGACTGTTTACTGACATAAAAGCTGTAAAATTGGCATTGGCCTCTGCTGTGAAAATAGAACTATTATCGGGTAACCTGGAGGAGATAGTCCTGGATCCAATGACGGTGGCGCTGGCAACAGCGTCACTATCTTTGGATTCATCTGTAAATATAGCTTTGTAAGTATCATATGTATTTCTTAATTCATTATGTTGTTGTTGATAAATAAGTTGACTTGTTTAGATTTGTTTGTTTATTTAATGTTAAATCCACCTCTGGCTTTACTAACTGCCAAGGTGGAGAAAACAAAAGCAGCGTGGGGGCTTTATTTTTCAAGAGTAATTTTAGCGGCAGAATTATCAGATTGTAGTCTTATTCGAAGTGGAGGGAGAACCGATGATATTTATTGTAAAGGGGGTTAGAAACACAGCCATATGCAGGATTCGAGTTATTTGAACGTAATTTAGAAGTATACTGTTTAAGAGATGGCTCATCAGCCTTAACGTACAGGCTGTCAATGGGAGAAGTTCGGAAAGATCCAAGACAGAGTCTTAGACCTTGATGATGGATAGAGTCCAAAAGTTTAAGATTGCTTTTGCAGGCTCCACCATAGATGATGGAGCCATAATCCAGTTTAGAGCGAATGAGTGCTCTGTGCAGTTGAAGGAGGGTTTTCTGACCCCCTCCCCACTTGGAATTTAAAACTACTTTCAGTAGGTCAAGGGCCTTCAGGCATTTATTTTTCAAATATTTTATGTGTGGTAAAAAGGTTAAATGGTGATCAAAAACAATATCCAGGAACTGAGCCTCTTTTACAACTGTGACTGGAGTGCTATTTAAAACTAAATCAGGGTCTTATGAGGTTTGTATTTCCTACAAAAAATGTATACAATTTGTTTTGAATTTTGACAATTTAAAACCATTTTCCAATGACCATTTATTTATTTTGTTTAGACACAGTTGTAATTGTCTTTGGATAGTGTGCTTGTTTTCACCACGACATGATATGTTAAAATCATCCACAAAAAGCTTAAGTGATCCATCAATTGAATCTTTTAAAACTTTGGAAAGACTATTTATTGTTATGCTGAACAATGTAACAGACAAAATACTGCCCTGTGAGACACCCTGATCCTGATTATAATGATCAGATAGGGTTGAACCCACGAGAAATTGAAATTGTCTGTCTGATAAAAAAATTGATATAAATTGAGGCAAACGGCCTCGCAATCCAAAGGCATGTAAGTCTTCCCAAAATACCGTGCTTCCATGTAGTGTCATATGCTTTTTCTAGATCGAAAAAAGAAAGACACTTCATATGTTTGTTTATAACAGCATTCTAAACGAATGACTCCAATCTAACTTAATGGTCAATGGTACTGCGATATTTACGAAAACCACATTGAATATTTTTGATTAAGTTATTTGGATTCTAAGTACCAAGTTAATCTATTATTGACCATGCGTTCCATGGTTTTGAAAACGCAGCTAGTCATTGAAATGGGTCGATAATTGGAAGGATCATTATGATCACGTCCAGGCTTAGATATGGGAACAATGATAGCTTCACGACATTAAAAGAAGGAAGTTCTCCTGACGTCCATATTTGATCAAATATTATGAAAAGGGTTTCTAAACAGGATTGTGGTAAATGTTTTAAGAGTTGATAATGAATATGATCAGACCCTACAGCAGTATCATGAGCTTGCCCAAGTGCAGTATGGAGCTCATGAATGGAAAAGACTTCATTGTAATCTCCCTCGTTATCTGAATTAAAATTTTATAGGTTTCTTTTCCTGCAGCTATTTGTATATTTTAAATTGAAGGACATAATAAGGGGAGGAAAAATGTTCAGCAAGAGTTTCACCAAGTTTGTTTGCAATATCTGATTTATCAGTTAACAACTGATCACCATCTATGAGCTGGTGCATGCTTGATTTATTACCCTTACCTTTTATTTTCTGAATCATGTTCCATACCTTGGACATAGGCGTCCGTGAATTTATCTTGGATACATAATTTTGCCAATATTGGCGTTTGTTTTGTTTCAAAGCATTTATAATTTTGAATTTATTTAGATTAAGTACCATTGGATGGCGACGGAAATATTTCTCAACCTTTTACGGTGCATTCTTAGCTTGTTTGAAATATTTGTTAAACCATGGTTTACGAATATGGGGAATTGTGGAGGACGTTCATCAGCTATTCTATTTAGTTCATCAGAGAAACGTTTTATGGGGTCGGGAACATCAATAAACACTTTAGGTTTGAGTTCATTAGTACAGAGGATTTCATATAAAGGCCAGTTGGCTTTAGTAAAATTCCATCGTGATGATGGAGGAATATCAGATGGTGTTAAAGATTTTAAAATGGTGGTAAAATGGTCACTTTCACAGAAGTCATCGTGGACTGACCATTTGAATTCACTTAGTAAGTTGGAATCTACAACTGATAAGTCCAGACAAGAGTAAGTACCGGTTGCGGGAAGTAAATATGTGTTATAACAATCATAAAAATTTATAAATCATTATTTAAGAAAACGTCTTCTTGTAATTTACCCTTGGTATTGCTGGCAATGCTACCCCAAAGTGGGTTATGGCCATTCAAATCCCCCATGAGAACACAGGGTTAAGGGAGCTGGTCATTAAGTGCCTTATGATGGGACTGTCGCAGAGAATATGACATATAATATGCAATATATAAAGAACACAATGTAAAAACAATATTCAATGTGACACGGACTGCAACAGCCTGAAGAGGAGTATTTAGAGGAACAGGACTATGAATGACGCCCTGCCTCACCATTACAGAAGATCCTCAAGTAGGAGTAGAAATGCAATGGTAGGAGTCATACTGTCTTAAATTAAAATTATCCGTTATTTTGAAGAGGGTTTCTTGAAGAGAAAATGCTGATGGTTTTAAATCTTGAATTAATAGCTGAAGGTCATTACAATTATTCCGAAGGCCTCTACAGTTCAATTGTAGTAAGTTAGTCGAACAGCTCATGGAGGTTCAATTGGAGATCGAGATCGAGGGAAGGGTCCTCTCCGTGACTTCCATATCTGGAGGTTCAAAGCTGTTATGAACCTCTTCAGGGATTGTCAACGGGGACGGCACCTCTATTCTCTTTTCTTTGTTTCCTTTCTCTGTTTGTAGGATGTTTAGTTTTGCGTACTTTCTGTACTGTCTTGGGTTCAGGTTCAGGTTCACAGTTAGGTCCAGTCTGAGGCACAGTCTGCTGTTCAGGCTGAATCTCAGTCTGTAAGGCAGTCTGTACTGTCATGCTGTTTACTGCAACGGAAGCACACATGTGATTTGTCACAAGACCTGGCCCAATAGAAATAGCATGTTCGGTTGTACCTCCGAAGTTGCTAAATAATGACACCATCGACTGGAACTGCTCAAACATTCCTCGACATAGAAGGATTTTTATTTGATCTTGTATCAGTGGACTGCGTGGATGTGAGACAGACATGATTAGATGATGCTTTCATGACACTTTCATGATGCCTTATCGGAGTCATTA